CAAAAAAAAAAAAAAAAAAAAAAAAAAAAGAACAACAACAAAACAAAAACAAAAACAAAAAAAACACCAAAAAACCAATATATTTATTCACTAAAACAATGGCACTCTTAATGAAAAATCAATAAGATTTTGGAGATTGAGCTTATATCTCTGTGAAGATGGCTCATCGCTTACCAAAAGTTCAGTTTTTCCGGTGACTATAGTTATGAATTGGTGGCCTCTGTCTTATATTATCAAATACACCTTAGATTCACTATAATCCGAGAAATTATTCAAATTGATCCATTTTTATACAAAATGTATTTATGAAAGAGTCTTGTTTCTGAAATTCCACAATACATGTATTTTCTAAAACCCTAATAGGACCAGGCATAAGTCTATTTCTGTTTCTCATGAAGACAATTTTTGAAGACAAGAATAATTAATTTTGAGGCTGAGGTGCAGCTCAGTGGTATAGTGTGTTTTTAGTATGTTTGTGGGCTGGTTTCCATCCCAACACCTCCCCTCCAAAAACAACCTTGATTAATTAATTTTGTATTATCTTATTTTTCCACAAGTTTTTCAATATGTAGGTTCTTGAAGTATGCACCAGTTCAATTATTTTCCAATCAACAAAATATGTTTCATATTATTGATTACTTTTACATATCTTGGACCCTCATCACATGCCTTCCCTTCATGTTGACTGTATGCACACCATTATGAATCTTTAGCTGAAAACGAGGATACCTGTAATTCTATAAGTCATCTCAATCATTTGATACAATTAAACATGGGCTGAGTACACTTTAAAAGTTAATATGTGATACTGGCTTGTGAAGTTCTTTTGTCATCTAGTGAAGTTTACAGAACTTTCATTTAAAAATTTAAAAGAGCTGTATCCATTAGGCTGTTAATAAACACATAACCTGCCATTCCTGAATACTTTGTTAGAACACGAAGAGCTTTTTCCAGCAAACAAAAATATACTTATTACATGTACAGCACATATTTGCATGAGAAAAAAGCATTAGCCAAAACATGTTTCTATATGCTTTACTGGTTTCTTGTTTGTGCACATTAAAGTATTTAATTACAGAGTGCACCAAGGTGTATAAATTTAGACTAGACAGCTGTTCAGCTTTTTCTGTAGTAGCATTAGCAATTTGGTCATTTAACTACTTTAAGATACTTACATTTTATGGCAGGTAGCTGAAACAGCATTTACATATATTAAAAAGATTATCTTTTCTTTTTTTAACTTTTAAAAAGCCACTTGGTTTTAAAGGTCTCTCAGAACCTTGTTTCTAGTCTTCCATGTCATGTTGATAAAGAGGGAGGCCCATTCACTATCTGTGCACAAAACCAACCCATCATTTACCATCAAATGTCCATACTTTTGTTTTTGCTTTGCATTTTTATCCAAAGGCTAACCGTCCTAGAAAGGGTATAATGTATATTTTCTTAATGGATATATTTAAAATATCACTTTAATTTGGCATATTCTTTCACCTTCTGTGATGCTTATCATCTCCAAATAAATAAGATATGTATCTTCCTTTTTTTAAAGCCTTAGAATTACTTGTATAAATGATACTAAAATCCAGATATATACTAAATAAAAACTTTTATTTTTGTCAAGCACCTTTGGAAAATACATATTCCACAGATATTTTGTTTTTTATTAATTTCATTTAAAAGAGAAAATTACTATAAACAAGAGAAAGAATCTTATAATATTTTGAGGCTGTTTGAACTGGTAGTATAAATCACATATTAGAATTCTATAACTTCATTCAGCAGACTTGTAGACGCATGACAATGTGGAAATGTAGTCTGGAAAAAAATGTAATTTGTCTGTTCTGATGTTAATTCTCAAGGCTATAATATGACTCTAATATTATAATCAACAATCTTGTTTATTCCAATATTTAAAGCAACACTTAGAAATGTTTATAAATGACTGATGAGTCTCTCATCTTTATATAGTTCTTGGAAAGAAGATTGAAATTGTTAACAATTTAGACTAATGGTCTCTCCTAATAAGAGAGTCTTAATTTTGTGACTAAACAAGTCATTGCATTTTGTCCTTAATGAAATGAATTTTTTAAATGTGAAACAAATCCTGAGAAAATTATTTGTTCCCTTTAAGTAATTTGTTATTTACTCAAATTATTATTGTTGTTGTTATTGTTTGCAAAATGTATTTTGGGAATGTTAACCTCTTTTCTTACCTGCATACTTGAACTTGTCTTTTGTGTGGGAGCCTTAAAATTTCTAATAGAAAGTGGGGCAGTAAAAGGGAGGGAGGGAAGGAAATCATGGCAAAAGATAATTTACAAATGTAAAATTTTTAAATGAACATATCACAAAATATTGTTGAGACACAGGATGTGAGTGGAGAATGTTTCTAGGCAACCTTAATTTGCATGCTAACGTATTTTCTGAGTTGTACAGTTTCACTTTGGTATTTGTTAAAAAAACAAACCAACATAATATCACTATAGAAATTGCCCTATTGGATATTTATACTACCTCTTCTTTAGAGATGACAGTCTGTCTTTAAAGGGAAAAAAATACCTGTCAAGAACTAGTGAGCAAATTTATTACTACTACTGCTAGCCTTGCTGCAAAACTAAATGAAATAGCTTTCCCTTTAGATTTTAACCTGTTTTCCAAAAATGCTCTTGTCATCCTTTCATTTCTTCTATGTGAGTCAAGTTTTCTTTGAATTGGTTCGTATTTATCATGAGGCATGGTTAATTTAACAAGTAAGTCATCATAGGGAACAAAACACACTGCAAAGGAATTTACCTTTTGTAATGTCTAGCTCCAAGTCTGCAAGAGAATAGGTCCAGAGACTTGTTTAATATAGTTGGGTTTGCAAATTCAGTTTTTGTTGATCCTTAACTTCTGTGGACACCAAGAGCACAACTTAGATACTTCTGGTTAAGGTTGTGTGTTAGCTTGGACTCCCATGTAACTGGAATAAACTTCATATCAATATTTTGAATAAATACTTATGTAACCCTTATTCCTTTTATATCTCTCCCTTTGTCTTTCATGACAATGTTGCATGTTGATTTATTTTTAATTATCTAGAACTCATCTGTGAATGAATGAAAACTTCATAAGAAATTATGTAATGAATCTGTTTGATTAGTTCCCTGTATCTTTAAATACTGTCAGTATTGTAACTAAGTTATTTATTTGAGCTGTGTCTATGCTGCAGAAAAGAGTCCTGCTTTTTTAAATTATGGTCATGATCAAATCAATCAATACAGGAGCTATTAAACAATAAGAATGACTTTTTTCTTGTTGAATTAAGCAGTCAAGTTAGTCAAAACAGTAAAATTAGTTTATATGGACAGACAGAGCTTCAGCATTCAAGAGTTATTTTTTAAAGGTTTCTTCTTTAATTAAATGGGTCCTTCTCCAGTGAAATACATACTCTGATAGCAACCATCTCTGTCTAATGGTGGATGATTTAATCCCAAATGCTGCATGTGATTGAGGTATATTATGAGAAGATTAGAAAGTATCTCACCAGATAATCTTAATTAAGGGCTGCAATTTCCACTTGCCATGAAAAACATATAAATAAGAATGAATAGCACTGACTTCGGAAAGTCACTTTCATGTGAAACTTTCTTTTGTTTCTTTTGATGGATGTAAAAAGAATGCAGAAAGATGGTAGAAAATGTCATGAATTAAAGTGGTGTGAAGAAGGCACTGATTCTCATTTGAAAATTATACGGAGTTAAAAAGAACTCTCTAAGAAGTAAAAGTAGCTGGCCTCTATCTTTTCAGTATTTTGTAAGTGTTCTTGGCTATGTGTTGAAGATAAATCTCTCAACAAATGGCTGTTTCATATGTGTAGGGGCCTCTCTTGCCCTACTTTGCATGCCACTTTCACACACTTAACAAATCAGTGCGAATTCTGTATGCATAAGGTATGTATTAAAGATGTGGGATTCTTAATGCTATATTGTTGCATACTATTTTTCATATGCCTTACAATATTTTCTGGGATGTTATTAAAATGAAAGCATTTTATTGCCAAAATAAATCTATGTTGTTACTTCTGCATTAGCAGTAGAAAAATAATGTAGCAAAAATATATATTGTACAGTACAAAATTATAATATATATATATTTTTTGCCAATAATATGATAGATTGAGGAGAAAGCACATTTGTTATAGCACAAACTTAAAACAAAACCCACTGTTAAATTTGGCAGTCCTGTTTTTTAAAAGTATATAGATTTAGTTCTGTGTTTTATCAGATTTATTTCATCTACCATCTTTTAAACTTGCTGCTTGATATTTTTCAAGCAATTTATTTCGTAGCCTTGAATCTGTGGATGTAATCCCTCTTATTTTGCTCCTGTCCATAAAACTTATTAAATTTTATTTTGTGATAAGACTCATACTACATTTTCTGTTCTTATTTCTTCTTCCATAACAACTACAAAATGTCACAGCAAATGCACTCATAGGGCTGTTCTGAACTTTATATTTTTCACAGCCTCAAGTTAAAATGATCAGTAAAGATGTCCCATTGAAAAAATATTAGTTAAGTATTCTTTCATTTGTTTTGTATGGAACACTGTCTTGAAATGTAAGTTAAAGCCATTACTTTTTTTTGAAGGGATGGTGGGAGGGAATAAAATTAAAGTTAATACAAAGCATACTAAAAATAAGTATGACAAAAAGATGTAAAAAGATTTCCCTACTGGGCCAGGGATTTAGCTCAGTGGTACTGCCACCACCGGCCTCAAAAGCGCAAGGTCCCGAGTTCGATCACCAGGATGAAAAAAAGATTTCCCTAGTATTCTGAGGGCTGTTCATAATCCCAGACCAGTGCAGTATCTACACAGATAATGTGAGAAAAAAATGATTTTGTCAAATAAATTTCTTTAAAATTTAGTTATTTATTTTGATAATTTATTTCCCTTTTATTTTTTTATATAGGTATGTGTATCATTCTACAAGGCATGCTGGGTAAAAAATATACTATGCAAATGTGTACAGTGCTGCATGGTTTGTTCTCTGCTTTAGTGGCTTTAAAGAAAAGAATGTGGTGTTATTTTTGTGAACAAAGACATTTAACAAAGAAAACGCAGAGTGCATGCATACAGTATCTTAATTTCTATGGATTTGTTTTATGAAATTTAAATGTGTACAAAACAACTGCATTAATTTTTTCTTTTATATAATAAAAGAAAAACACTGAAACCAGCGTTATACCTCTCCTTGATATTATTCTAGACATATATTGAAGTCATACTAGAAATCATTAGGTTTATTTGTATACCTTTCATAGGAAAAACACTAAAAGTCACTCTAAAAACAAACAGATGGATTCAATTAATTGACTTTCCTGAATACTCCACTAGGTCTTATATGTGATCACAAAGTACTGTATTTTATTTATTTTTTATTCATTTATTTTTGGTTTTTTGAGACAGGGTCTCACTATGTAGTTGAGACTGACCTGGAACTCACTGTGTAGCCCAGGCTGGTCTCAAACTCACAGTGATCCTCCTGCCTCAGCCTCCTGAGTGCTGGGATTACAGGCATGCGCCACCACGCCTGGCGAAAGTACCGTATTTAAAGAAAGAACTTTTACACATGCACACACAAAATGAAGTGGAATATAATAGAATTAATGTGTGCAATAAAAACCTTATTGCTCACAAGACATCCCTAAATGATTAATGTAGTTGTAATCAGAAATTTACAGAGCTATCCTGTACCAGTAAAATTCCATGGGTGATATATATAGACTGTAGTGGTACTACATGTCCTCAGGGGTAGTTGCCTACACTATGACTTGATTTGAATTTGACTTTTCTCTCATTACACTGTATAAGAAGTTCAAAATAAATATGTATTTATTATTACTACATTACAATTACACAGTGATTTATTACAGCAAGTTATTTCACAATTAATTCATATGACCACCCTGGAAAGTAGGTAGGGCATAGGTTATTAAGACTCAACTACAGATGAAGAAACCAAATCTCATTTTAACCCCTTTTTCTGAAGTACATATTTTTGCTTTAAAATCCATATTTTATACATTGTTTGCTTTAACAATGCCTGGAATGAAACACATGAATAGTATCTTATTATTAGAGAGATGTTATCAAAGCATTTCAGCTAACAATTGAAATTCCCTACTGGAACAATTACAGTTGCTCACTATCACTAAGTCAAATGGCCATATGCCAAAGCCATCTCTCTTGTCTCCAACACATTTCCACTAATAAGATGGACTATGGAAAGAAACACCTTGTCCTTTCATACAGCATGCATTTACAGTGGTTAGAGTGTGGACTCTAATTCTTAAAAGCCTGAATCCAGCAATAACTAGCTATGAGTGTGGGCAATCACTTAACTTCCCTGTGCCTGCCTCTGTTTCTGTAGAATGGTTTTTCTTTTGATATGGTCATGTTTTTTTTTTTTGTTTTGTTTTTTTTTTTTTGGTACTGGGGATCGAACTCGGGTCCTTGCACTCGCGAGGCAGGCCACCGAACCACTGAGCTAAATCCCCGGCGATATGGTCTTATTTTTCCTATTTCCTTGCATGTCCAGTAAGTTTTTATTGGACGTAGGACATTGTAAACCTTACATTGTTGATGAACTTGTATTTCTCTATACAGTGTTGGACTTGTTTCCACAGGCAACTGTGGATTAGTTTGGTCCTTTCAAGGTTTGTTTTCAGGTTTGTATAGAATTGATGCAAAGAAGGGCTTATCCTAGGCTAATTTCATCCCTCTTCCAAAGTACGTGGGCTGTCTACTGAATGCCCTGTTTATTTTAGTGAGCTCTGTCTGGTTGAGGGAACTCAAGTGATTCTTGAATCATTTGTTTCACCCCTCCCTGCTACTTATTTTTTTCCTCCAAAATTGTTATTGGTCAGCCTTCTGAGGTTTTATACTACTTAAGTACAAATCTCTATGTAGCCAAATACTCGGTGCCTTCTTATGCTGGTTTCTAGAGTTTTTCTTTGTGTAGCAGTCTTCTTTCACTCTGCTTTACAAATTCTAGCCATCCTGATCTCAAAACACTGATTGGTGTCTTCACTCTTAAGAGACTCTCTCCTTCTATAAGCTGGGAACTATTTCTAGGCAGAAAGTCTAGATACAATAAAATTTACTGTGTATTTCTCCTTTTTTAGGGATCAGAGTCTATTTTCCAATATTTGAAAACCAAATTTGCCTGTATGGTGTCCTGCATTTTGTTAATAAAAGGGTAAATCCAAACCTTCCCATTCTCTCCTGCCTTGAAACTGAAGTCTGTCCAGATATTTTGCACATCACTATAGGAGTTGATAAATTAGTCTTTAAAGTCTCAGAGGAAGTGTTTTCACACATGGCTTCACACCACTCTCCAGCTTCCCAATTACATCTTTAGTAGTTCCTAATTTGTATTTCACCTGCAGATCATCACAGTCTACCACCTGTTTTAGTTAAATTCATCACTTTCTTTTTCTTCAGAGGCACTTGGAAAATACTCTGGGAGACCATCTCCTTAGCACAGCTATAAAACAGCCCTCGCTTCACAAATTAGTGTGGTCTGACATGCACTTAACAACAAAGATATGAGGGATTTTACAAAACGTCTGAGTTGCCAAAGCATTACCTACAATGTGCAAGAATGGAAATATAAGTTAACGCAAGTTGATTATGTTAACAATATTGTTTTTCTAAAGTCTATTAAAAACGTTATTAAATCCAGGCATAATTACAAATTATGTAGTATGCATTAATATAAGGATTTTCTTTCCCTTCATGTTTTCTTTGAAGTTTGACTTTTTAATATAAATCCCCAAAGAGGTTTTAAAACATTGCTTTTCCATATATTGAGATAAGAGAACATGTGGCAAGCAGTCAGGTGGGCAAGAGAGACCTAAAAGTGAAGGAAGATTGGAGATGAAAACCCTTGAAGGTGCCAAGACAGCCTTGAGATGACTGTCAAGATAAGGCCACTGACTTCAGCTGAGTATGAAGGGAGAAGAGGCTCCACAGAGAAAGACCCTTTGGAACAACCAGTCATCGAGAGTCAAGACGGATTTTGGGTGCTGCGAGTGTGTGCAGGAGTGGAGATAGGTACTATTACATATTTGCTTTATGGCTCTATGGAGGATATTCAGGGAAAACGAAGCTCGGCCGGGGCGCAGCAGCAAGCCGTCCGGAGCCGGTTACTCCAACACCCAGCCGGAATTGCAACTTCGATCCCAGAGTACGACCACTCAGCCTAACATCACCTAGGTAAACACATTAAATTAAACCATGCCGGCTTCCCTTCCCAGGCCCCGCCCCTCCGCCGTGCGCCTGCGCACCCCCGTCACGCTAGCCCCGCCTTTCGCTTCCCCCGCCCGCTTGGTAGTCGCCAACGCAGTGAGGAACTGGGGGAGGACGGTGGCCTGCGCGGCTCGTCGCAGACAACGC